TTTTAATATATCGATGCAAAGTATCTTTCATTCACCTTTAATTTTATTTGAATTTTATTTGAAGTTTTTATGATTTAAATTTCTTTACTCACTTAACAATTTTATCTTTTTTTTAATAGTCTTGTTTAAAATACGACTTTTCTTTTTGATGTTAATGAAGCTTAACATGTTCTTTATGTTAGTCGTCACGGGCATGACTGTATACTTATTCATATTTTTTATGAATAATGACAATAAGTTAATTAACGATAATGTTTTCATGATATTAATTATCATTCAAATTTTTGTTGTTATTGTACAATTTGTAGCCCAATATATTGTTCATCGCGCGGTAATTTTCTTAATTTTATCAACTTAATAACTTTATTAACTTAATAATTTTATTAATAATTTTATTATTAACTTAATAATTTTATTAATAATTTTATTATTAACTTAATAATGTTATTAAGTTTTATAATATCATCTACTTAATTTTATCATTATACTATATAATATCATATACTAATTATATACTGTCATTTATTATAGGTTCCAAAGGAAAATGCCTTTTTAATGAAAATCTTTAATCTTCTTTGGTCTATCACACTTATTGATTGGTTCGCTTGTCTTATTGCATCAGTTGTCTTCGCTGCCGGTGGTGCTTGGGCCCTTTTATACTTTGGTAAGTTTTTTTGTCTCGATTAACTAATTATTTATTAATATTATATATTTAATATTATTTATATTTATATTTATATTTACTAATCTTAATTATATTTTTTTCGATATAATAGCGGTTCCATATTGTTATTTAGGAATTGTAAGCAGAGATTTTTTTGGTTTATCCGAATTTTTTCTTTAATACCTTTACCATCTTTAATTAATACCTTCTATCCTCATTTTCTTAGATAACATTTATATATGGTTGGAGGACTTCTGATACTTTCGATCAAGGATTACGTGAATATGGTAATTAAAAAAAAAATTTTTTTCATACACATTCACATACATATATATATATATATTTTTTTTTTAACTTTATTTTTAAAAAAAATTTTTGTAGTTGGTCTACAAATTCGCAAACATCACGGAATGAGTTTAAGAATCGATAGTATTCCAACTTTCCGACCTAATACAATCAAAAAACCCGAAAGTGCTGTTCTTTCTTAGAAAAAAATCATTTGATTTTTTTCTTCTAAAATGATCGATTTTAAATGATCATTTTTAAATGATCGTTTTATTAATTGTTTTTAATTTATTTGTTTATTTATTTATTTTTGTTGTTTAAAGTAACTATTGTATCACACTGTATCACTGTATCACTGTACCACTTTATCACAATTTGTTTAATAATGTTGGTTTTTTTTTTTTTTTAGATGTTTTTTATAACAAAGTTTTAATCCTTAATTATTACAGTAAGAGTCGGAATCGGTTTATCTTAGAATTCTTATAAAACCCGAATATAGGTTTTTTTTAAAAAAAATTTGTAACTAGATATCTATATAGCTTTGTTAATGGTTTATCTTAGAATTCTTATAAAACCCGAATATAGGTTTTTATGTTTAAAATTTGTAACTATATATCTAATATAGCTTTGTTATAAAATAAGAACATATTATAATGTAAAATAAAATAATAATAAAAAAAAAAAAAACCACTTTACCTTAATATTTTATTAAAATAAAAATTTGTACGTATACGATATTATTTATTATACTTAAATTTTAATTTTGTAAAAGAAAAAATAATTACACATCCTATTACTACAAATGCTCCAAATCCTCTCCAAATAGTAAAACATTGACCAATATCACCTTCACAAAATAAAACGTGACTAAAACCAAATACCATAATAGCTCTAATTGAATTTAATAATCCTATAGTAACATTACCAAGATGTTTTACTACCCAATAAGCTGCAAAATTATGAAAGAATGATGCAAGAATTAACATCAAATATGATATAATAATTATAAAAGTATTTACATGTTGACTTTTCTTTTCTATCTCTTCTATTATAAGTACTTTCCAATTTGGAATTGTGTACATGACAATATATATCATAGCTAAACATGAATTAATAGTTCCTATTAAAAAACATGCTTTGGCTGGTGATGGTGGAAGTTCATTAGGTACACGAATTGTTGTTAATAATTGATCAAGTATAACGTAAACACAAGCACTTCCAAATGTTGCAAGTGATGTTAATATTAATCCAATCATTGTAAGTGGTATATGATATGAATTAAATATAATGGGTTCGGTGGTAATAGCTACTATAGAGTTTTTAGAAATTCCTAAAGAACTAATAAATATTCCAATACATACTCCAATAACGCATAGTGATTGTACTCGTGAAAGTTTTCTTCCAAGAAATAGAAATGAGAGAATTGCACACCAGATTATTATCGAACTGTGAATTACTTGATACGTCTTTATCAAAAAAAATTTATATCAAAAAAATTTTTAGCCTGGTTATATTTATATATTACTGAAAAAAAAATTCTATACTGTATGTCTGATATAGTATATTTAATATAATTAAATTATATTAGATATAGTATATATCATTTACTTACACCACTTCCAACGTAAAAAAGACCCAATGTTAACGTAAAATTAGCCATAATCTCCAATAAAGAGATAGCAAATATAAAGCAATAGTTGACAACTTCTTTTGGACTTGATAGCGATAGCTTGCTACTATTCGTCAGAATGTCATCTTCAGGTAATAATTGATAATCTTTAAGTGCTTTCGTTACCTAAAAAAGTTTGATATTAATTTAACATGAAATTCAGCATTAATTTAATTCAACATTAATTGAACATTAATTCAACATTAATTCAGCATTGAAAGTTGCGAATATTAACCATATCGAGTTCTGGGTCCTCAGTTTTATCCATGATGGCTCCATTTCTTTTTGCAAACCATGCGGGCATAAGCAATATCCCAACCAATGCTGCGCCAACATAATGTGTGAAGTTTACCAAGAGGCTGAGAAATGTGTGATTAGTATTAACACAGAGATAACGCAGAGAAATTGTAGAAATAACGAAAGAAATTAAGATAAAATTTTTAGGCAACATTTCAAAATTGATATAATTAAAAAAAATACCTTCTTTCATCTAAAAAAATCGTTATGACAAATATAACAAATATAAATTTATATTTCAGAACAATTTTTCAAAAAATTTTTTTTAACATACTAGCTGCTCCTTGATAATATAAATATTGCATTGTAAGTGTTTGATAAATTCCTGCCAAAAGATATATCCCTTGATATACTATGGCAGCAATTGTAGAAGGAATTATTCTAGACATTTCTTTGATATTTTTGTGATATATATATATATGATATATATTTTATGATAAAGAGGGTCTTTGTAAAAAATTGTCTAAAGCCGAAATTAATCCGTACGCAACCTTAATTTAACTAAAGTGAAAGCCACGCTAATTTGATTACACAAATCCTGTTTATGTTTTTTTTTCAAATGTTCGTATCGGTATATATTAAAAACGTTGTACGTAATATCGATATCAGATATACACGTTACTTGTTATGTATCTTAGCATTAATGATTCTTCTTTTTTCTAATAACAGATAATGTGTTATTAAATTTTGTACTCAATATTACGACAATTGTGGAAACGGAAATTTTGGAAATCTGTGGAATTAGACAATAACAATATTCAATATCGATACTTTAATTTTATTAAATTTAACGCCTCATCTTTGTGTTGACTATCCATTTGCCATTTGTCACCAGCCTCTCGGAAATACTTTTCACACCTTTCCGTTTCAGCACATTTGACTACTTTTGATCCTAACTATAGCGATAGATACCATAACTATAATGAATTCATCATGTTTGCACACCTTTAGATCCCAACATACAAATCGAAAATTCATTGTTCGCCCTAAATTTAACTACAGTATAATTATTGTATACAAGAAATTCTTACGAGCAAAACTATCTTTCAAACAGAACCAATGGAGATAAAACTTTACGTCATAAAGAACTTTCCAAAGTAAAATTAATGCCCTTCCATTAGAAACCATTCAAGCTACAAATTTTTACATGCCAATCGAGATCAGAATAAAAATCATGTGAATAAATATCAACCTCGTTAAGGCATATCTTTTTTTTTTTTTTTCTATTTACTACTAAATAAAAAAAATTCTTATCATTAGAAATTTACTCGGAAGAAATTACATGGGGCTTATATGTACAAATAATTTGGGCTTACGTACGTACGTACGACCACATCAAAAATTCTTGATTATTCAGGTTATTTTACTACGTAATTTTACTACGTACAGTATTATTTTGACATGAACGAATTCCATTTTTTGAACCGTTTTTGGTGATGTCAAAAAGAAGTTTTAGGAAATAAAAAAAAGAGCCGCGAAAAAATGTTTTGATTTAACTGTTTATATATTCCCAAAAAATTTTGCTCCGGTATTCCTACTATAGATGCTGGTGAAACTAAATAACATTGGTGAAACTGGTGACTATATAAAATCTTAGTGACTGTTATATTAAATTCACCAGTTTCACTAATTTCACCACCATTCACCAAGAGTTTCACCAGTTTCACATCTATAATTCCGACGTATCGAGCTAACCGTATTCCTATGGACTTAGTATCCGAGAAGGTCTTGGACTGGCTTCGAACTTTAGACTCTCCGTATGGCGTAGTGATGTAGTTCACATCACAATGATTAACAAAATAACGATAATGTAACTTAAAATTATTTGTGTGATCTAAATTATCCAATAGGAAAAATAATTTCAATGTGATTAAATTTTTATATGGGTAATTTTTAGGGTTTTTTTATGAGTGCTGCAGAACGAAAACCTGTAACTGATCATGATTTACTATGGTCAAATTTACAGGTTTTTGCTCTGCAGCACGAAAAAATTAAATTAGCGCTAGTGAATCAATCGCTGAAATTTGGTGAAATTAATTTCACCAGTATTTTTAATAATTACGGCCGATTCTGTTCACAACACCTCAAAAAATTAAGATATCTAATTTTAAGGTACTGTATATACTCATAATTATAATTATGTACTAGTATATCGGAGTATATACTATAAAACCATTAATAACCTAAATTTATGACGTATTTAAATTTTAGTTAATCTATCGCCCTGCTAAATGCTAATCTCAAAATCAACTTAATGCAGGCCAGTGTCGACCAAACTAGGTCAATGATCGACAAAACTTGGCACGGTATATGAAATTAGGTATGTTTTATGACTAGGGATGTTAATCAATTGAGTTGATTTCGAGCAAGTTTTGCAAAAAAAAAATGGCATTTTTAACCGGTCTTGGGTCAACAAGTTGCAGAACATTTCTTTTTTTTTTATACTCAATAATTTAATGTTAAATTTTGAATAATTTAAATGGGACCGATTAAAGACCGATCGGATTAAATTTCCTCCACACTGTTTGGTCCCTAATCGGTCCCGTCTAAGTTACTCAAAAATTAATACAAAAATCAATAAGCCTTTATTAATTATAGTCATAAAAAAAACAAACTTTCTGTAATTTTACTTATTTGGGCGAAAACCGATTAAAAATGCCTCTATTTTTTTTTTTTTTTTTTTTTTACAAAATTTGCTCAGAATCAGCTTACAATTGCTGCGGGACCGATTAACATTCCTATTTATAACTAGGTTGAGACTGGAATAGGTTCCAATGATTACATGCGTTGACCATAATGACATTGTGCCTGAATAGGGTTTTATCAGAAATGTATAATGATAATAACTTATCTAGGTAACCCAGATATTTTAAGAAAATTTTTCCACGGATACAATCTCTGGGTATTACAAATATATGTACTGTATGGACCGATATGTATGTAATGTATACTGTTGTTTGTATAGTTGTATATATTTTGTGATTTTTTTGGTAATTTTTTTTTTTTGGTTGGGACTTGAAATTCGAGGATTTGTTTTTGCTTTCTAATAACAATTTTAATTATAAATTAATAAACTGTATTTTCATTAATATAAAATATATATTTATATATATTTACTTTTACGTGTCATAGCAATTGATTTACGTTTAATTTCACCACTATCACGTTGTGTAATTGGTACGCCAAACTTGACATAAACTTGTATTCGATTAATAGTTATTTCATCTAATTTTTTTCCTCTAAAATTAAATTTATTAATACTTAATATATATTTAAATATCATCTATTAAATTTGTATATATGTAATTATTTAATAATTAAAAAAATATTAAATACTGATTAATTGCTGAAAGTAATTTTAACTGCTTTCCAGACCGATTAGCATATGCATGAGCAGCTTTAGCTGCATTTGTATTATTTCCAGTTTCAATCCAGGTATTATAATTAATTTTTGAGCAATGATAATTTAATGAAGCTATAATATAAGGTGTGTGATAGTAATCAACCCACTCTAAAATAGATTATTGTATATTAATAAATAAACTTAATTAAATTTAGTAAATATATAAATATATATATACCTTGTATATTATTCTCGTTTAAATTTAACAATTGTTCAAAAATATTAAATACTAATTCTTTATTATCGCAATTAGAAATAGAATACATTAAACTTTTCACATATTCAGTAAATTTTTGTTTCGAATATTTCTATAAATAAATTTAAAAAATAAAATTTAATAAATTAAAAATTAATTAATTAAAACTTTAATTTTTTTACCAATTGTAATAGATCAAGTATGGGTTGAAATAAAGCCATGTAGATCTCCAGTCTATTTGCCGGTTTAGAAAGGACCATTTGTTGTTTCGTTTCTGAGATGACCACATTGCTAGGATATGAGCTTTGCAGATTGTCTTAACAAAGTGTCTAGTGGGAGAGTCTACTGGATAATATTC